GTGTGTGTGTGTGTGTGTGTTTCTCCCCCCCCATAAATTCCCTGGCTTACCCTGGTGCTCGCCCTTCTGTTCCTTTCTCCTCTTTTAAGTTATGTTGTGTGGCTGGGGAGAGGTTGAGATTGGGAGAAATGGGATTCACCTGGTAGGACTAGGGAGCAAGGTAGGGAATCTTGATGTCTACAATGTTGGCTAGCCAATGTGGGTCTGCCAGTGGATAGGTTATTTATTGAGTTTGGTGCTAGCAAGGATGAGGGGTTGGGGTCGACCAGCTGGTGCGGTCGTCTCCAGATTGTGTATCTTATTTATGCGGGGTATCCGTCCGAGCTAGAATACCCTTGCTCTCTTGTGTGAGAGCAAATGACGTGTTTCTGGTGGTGGACCCTCTGCCTTCTGCGGCAGCCCAGACTTGATTCGATCTCAAGGATCTATGGATGAGCTGGCGACAACAGAGAGTTTGGTGTCGAGATAAAATATATGTTTACACGGATTGATGTTAAGAAAATATATATTTACCTGGCTCATAGATTTCGTGCACACACATGGCGGCCTGATAGCTCTGTCGGGGGTTGAGCCCTTGCGGATGGGCTCCCCCCTCCCGCCCCCACCCGCCCCCAAGCTCCACTATCTTCGACTGCACGGGAGCATCGAGTGGAAGGTGAGGGATCAGGTCATTGGTAGCTCTCGCTTCCATGGATCTCACAGGGCTCACCTGGCGACAGTGGTGCTTGATGTCAGTCACATGTATCTCGCGGCAAGTGCACGTTTACTGGTGGTGGGGGCTGGATGAGGGCGTCGGTTCAGGTGATATGTTGCTGGAGGAACTGGGTGTGCACATTGGTTGGTTGTAATTGGGTTGGCGTGTGTGAGGGGGACTCGCCCAGCGAAGGAGCTTCATGTCAGTCGCATCTATCCGGCAGCTGCTCTGAGCTTATTGGTGGTTGCTCGATAAGTTGGTGCGCAAGTGCCGAGAGCTAGTCGATTGCTGGATGAAGTTGATGGTTCAGCTTTACCGTTGCTGGAGGATGTGGGTGTGCTGTGCTATGCACATTGGTCGATGTTCAAAGGGCTTCCGTGTGCGCATCGGCATTGGTACTGCTATAGATCTGCAACAGCTGCGATCCGCATGAGCACGGCTGCGATCTGCGACAGCTGTAGATCTCCAACAGTTATCGATCATGCAACAGCAGTGATCTTTGACTGCTATAGAATCTGCAACAGCTATAGATAGATCTGCATGAGCTTCAATTTATGTTTCCAGTGGCAGAGTCTACGTCTTAGTCTTATCTTCAGGAGGAGGGTGTCATGACGAAGCTTTTGTTGGTGGACGGCGTCAAGGTCGTCAGTGTGGATGCCATGGAAAGCTGAACATGCTTCTGCCTATGGGGGAAACAGTGAAGGATGGAGGTTGA